GCTTGCTCCCGCTCCCCCCCCCCCCCCCCCCCCCCCCTCCCCACCTCCCCCCCCCCCCCCCCCCCCCCCCTCCCCACCTCCCCCCCCCCCCCCCCCCCCCGCCCGCCCCCCCCCCCCCCCCCGGCCCGGCTCCAGGCACCAGCTTGGCAAGCAGGTGCTTGGGACGGCCACTCCGGAGTGGGGCAGCAGGTCCAGCTATTCAGGGGCAATTCGGCGGATGGTCCCTCAGTCCCTCTCAGAGTGAAGGACTTTCCGCCGAATTGCCGCCGCAGATCGCGATCGCGGCTTTTTTTTTTTTCCCGCTGCTTGGGGCAGCCAAAAAACCTGGAGCTGGCCCTGCCCCCACTCCCACCCCCGCTGCCGGCAGGAGTGTGGTGGGGTCGGGGGGAACTGCAGACAGAAGGGGTGGGGAGGGGCAGGAACACCGGGCAGAATGGGGCAAGTCCCTGTGCCCTGACCCCACTCCCCGGCAGGAGTGCTGGGTGGAGAGGGTCAGGGTGTGCCCATTTTTCCAGGGCCCCAAAATTGGCCAGGGAGTGGCTAATCCACCACTGCTTGGGGAGGTGGTGTTCCTACAGCAATGGAAAAAGTCCTCCTTCTGTCACCCTAGACTGTATCTGCAGCACAGGATTTATGCTGTCCTATAGCTGTGCTACTACAGTCTCCTGAGTGTAGACACGGCCTTAGGGTGCTAGCACGGACATTGGGAGACTCAAGTTCAGTTTCTAGCTCTACCACAGACTTTCTGTGTAATCTTGGATAAGTCACTTGGGCCCATGTTTTTAAATGTATGTATGTGGTGCTGCGCTCAGTGTTGCAGTGCCTGTTTTAGGAACCTAACTCAGAGTTTTGAAAGGGACCTAGGCACTTAACCAAAATCCCATCAATGGGATTTTGACTCCTATGTCCTTTTTGACTCCTAAATTGGCTAAGCACTGCACACTGAGCGCAGCAATGCAGAAATACCTTTAAAAACATGGGCCTAAGTCTCTCTGTGCCTCAGGTCCCTGTCTGTACAATGAAGTGAATAGTACTTCTCTGTGAGGCCAGGGTGTTGTGAGGATAAGTACATTAAAGATTGTGAGGTTGTATACTACAGCAATGAGGGCTATGCAAGTACCTAAGATTAGGCTAGAAATAGACATTGCAATTCCTTGCCCATTGTTTTAAGCCAAAATTGAAGAGATGAACCCAACTGGCTGTGTACCAAAAAATGCCTTTTGACTAGATATCTCTTCATTTGGGATTAATGAAAATAGGTTGGAACTTGACAAAATACCCTTCCTGACAAATAACTTCTCCCAGTTTGCACCATGGACAGGAGCTGGTATAAATAAAATCCAAAATAATGCCCAAGATAAACACAAGTGCAGCTGCCTGCTTTTCCTCTGGAAACGATGAGGCACCATGAGAATGAAGGGCCAACGTATGTCTTACAAAGTCATAGATTCATAGATTCTAGGACTGGAAGGGACCTCGAGAGGTCATCGAGTCCAGTCCCCTGCCCGCATGGCAGGACCAAATACTGTCTAGACCATCCCTGATAGACATTTATCTAACCTACTCTTAAATATCTCCAGAGATGGAGATTCCACAGCGTCCCTAGGCAATTTATTCCAGTGTTTAACCACCCTGATAGTTAGGAACTTTTTCCTAATGTGCAACCTAGACCTCCCTTGCTGCAGTTTAAACCCATTGCTTCTTGTTCTATCCTTAGAGGCTAAGATGAACAGTTTTCTCCCTCCTCCTTCTGACACCCTTTTAAATACCTGAAAACTGCTATCATGTCCCCTCTCAGTCTTCTCTTTTCCAAACTAAACAAACCCAATTCTTTCAGCCTTTCTTCATAGGTCATGTT